ATCCAAGCCCGACCCATGGCTGAACGAACAAACTCGTTCCATGAGACAAAATTGCTGAAGACTGGAACGTAAATGGATAAAAGACAGGCTTACTGTATCCTTCGAGGCCATGAGAGAGGCTTGGTCTCAGTACCAAAGAGCAGTCAGAGGCGCGAGAAATCGATTTTTTGCTAGCATTGTCACGGCTAATTCAAACAATCAAGGTGTGTTATATAAAACCATAAATGCAGTGCTTTCCCCAGTTGAAAAACTATTTTCCTCTGCGTCCGCTGACTTGTGTAGCCAAATCCTGCAGTTTTTCTTAAATAAGATTACTGTAATCAGAGCTCAGATTCACCAAACCAACCATGTTCCAGATTCATTTATCCCCTCTCACGGGCAACTTCAAAGCTTTCAGCCCATCTCTTTGGCCTGTCTAGAAAAAACTGTTGCAGCCATGAAACCCTCTGGCTCCCCAGATGATGCTATCCCACCTCGTCTCCTGAAAGAGGTGTTTCCTTTAATTAGCCATAGCATGCAAGCATTATAAATAGTAGCTTGACATTGGCTGAAGTTCCTCGTGCCTTTAAACACGCTATTCTACATCCAATCTTGAAAAAACCTGGCCTTGATCCCACCGATTACTCTAATCTCCGACCAATTTCCAAATTACCGTTTTTATCTAAGGTCCTTGAGAAAATAGTGTATGAACAGTTGCTGAAACATTTAAATGAATTTCAGGTAATGGACACCTGTCAGTCTGGTTTTAGAAAACAGCACAGCACTGAAACTGCTCACGTTCGGGTGTTTAATGATTTTTTCTGGCTTTAGATTCAGGTTTCCATGTGGTTCTGGTACTTTTGGATCTATCAGCAGCATTCAACACGATCGATCATGACATTTTGATCACAAGACTTCACACTTGGGCTGGCATTTCAGGCTCAGCCCTAGATTGGTTTAGGTCATACTTTTGTAACAGGTCTGCTAGAGTCATGTTGGATGGCTGTTCATCCGAGTCACAGCCACTACGTTGGGGTGTCCCACAAGGTTCAATACTCGGCCCGTTACTGTTCAACCTCTATATACTGCCCTTAGGAGCCATTTTGAGAAAGCACGCTGTCTCATACCACCTTTACGCTGATGACTGTCAAATTTACTTTTCATTTAAGCCAACTCAATCAACGAAAGTTCTGTCTGATTGTATCCTTGAGGTCAAGCTATGGCTTGCTGATAACTTCCTCCATCTTAATGACTCCAAAACTGAGTTAATCGTTTTCAGTCCTAACAGTATCACGGCTACTCGTCAACCTGACCTCAACTGTCTCTCACCTAATGTATCCTCTGTAATTTCCAACCTTGGAGTAAAAATGGACCAGGCTCTGAAGATGGATGCCCAGGTCAATAACACAGTTAAATCATGTTTTTACCACCTAAGACGCATCTCGAAACTAAAGCACATCCTGAGTGTCCGTCTTCTGAAATCTGTGGTCCACACTTTCATCACTTCAAGGCTGGATTACTCTAACTCCTGCTTATACGGCATCAGTAAAGCAGCTCTTTCTAGACTTCAGCTGGTCCAGAATTCAGCGGCTAGGTTGCTGACTGGAGCTGACAGAAGACAACACATTTCACCAATTCTGAAATCTCTCCACTGGTTGCCTGTGCAGTTCAGGATAAATTTCAAAATTTTGCTTCTGACTTACAAATCCTTGAACCGTCAAGCTCCTCCATATCTGTGTGAACTGGTCCATTACTACAACCCGCTGCGGTCCGAAGATAAGCTCCTCCTAGCTGTTCCGAATGCACGTTTAAAAAGCCGTGGAGAGAGGGCTTTCTCTGTATGTGCCCCCAAGCTGTGGAACGCATTACCACTACTAGTGAGGCAAGCACCAACAGCTAGCATTTTTAAATCACGCATGAAAACTCACTACTTCAACCTAGTGTATACCACATAATTATGAACCTCACTTACAACTACATTGTTTAAAAATGGAATGCACGATATCAACTTCCGTACTATTGAGGTTCTTTTTAAAATGTTTTTCTTATTTTTTATATTCTCCCTGTGTTTTATTGATTTTTAACTGTTAGTTCTAGGTATTTTTTGTTTTTCCTTTTATCTCTGTTCTACATGACTGTCTGATGGCGGTTTAATTAACTAACATTTTTAATGTATAGCGCCTTGTTTGGTTGTAATGCCTTGTTGAATGTGCTTTATAAATAAAATGGTATGGTATGGTATGGTATGAGGCTCGTTATACATCTATGCTGAAACTTATACGTATAGAATATAACTTTACCTCACATGACGTGAGGTTGGTCTGTTCCATTTAACCGTTATCTTTGACCAAGGAAGGACAGTGTCCTCTAAGCAAGACACCTGGCCTACCAAGGCTCTGGATGTGGGAGTGCTGATGGTTTGTTTAATAAATAAGATGAGCGATATTGTAGGAAACCAGACACGCGTGCACACACACACGCACGCACACCAGTACCCAAAGCCGGATTAACCATATGGGCAACTGGGCAATTGCCCAGGGCCCACAAACTCTAAAGGGCCTAGGGCAGCAAGGGCACAAGCAAAATACTGTTGGCCTATCTGTAATCTCCCGCTTTATATTAAACTAGGGTGACCATACGTCTGGTTTTCCCCGGACATGTCCACTCTCTGTCCGGGCATCCGGACTGGGGGTTCTTGGATTGATGAAAATGTCCGGTTTTTCATCCAGGAGCAGGGATCAAATTATGGGGGAGCTGGATATCCTACACATCCAGGGGAGCCGGAAAAAAGTTTTCTAGCTATATTACATCATTTATGGACTCTTTTGAGCAGAGAGCACAGAGAACGGCACAGCGCTGCGTTGTTGCGCAGCGATCCAGGCTGCTGCTTCCAGCTCACGGTCCATTCTCAAAGTGGCGCAACCAAAAAACTATAATTAGCACACGATCGTTCATGTCCGCACATGTTCTCTACTTTCTGTCTTATTTGTGCCTGAAGTGCTCTGCCGCTGCGGAGCTCATCACCTGTGCTGTGGTGATGTCACCTCACTGACGCAGCATCGAAATGCGCTCTCCGCTTTGCGGTCAGGGGATCCCTTTGATCTGCTCAGAAGTAACTGATGAGGTGAAAAAGTAAGAATCCAGGCACCAGTTTTTTCTGGAGAGTTTAGAGGCGATGCAGGAAGATGAGAGACAGACAGGACAGGAAATAGTTAAATAAAAACAAGAAAACAAAACAAAGTGTTGAAAAGTAAAATGTTGGTAGATTTATCTCCACTACACGTTTTTACCTGTATAAAACAATAAGTTATACACATGTAATATTTATACATCTGATACAATTTAGATCACCTTCAAAACTCAGTCACACACCCAGGGCCGTTTCAATGCATTTTGGGGGCCAAGGCAAAATGACCCCCCCCCCCCACCCACCCACCACCACCACCCCACCCCATAGCTGGGCTCCCCAGAAGCCTCTGTGAGTGTGTTTACATGCAGCCAGTAACCCTTTTAAAACCTGAATATTCACAAAAACCCGGTTCCGCAGGTCCATGTAAACACCGCCAAAAACCCGGATATGCTCATAACCGGGTTTTTAAAAACCCGGTTACTACACCTGGGGTAACCCTTTTCTAACCCGAATGTTTGGTCGTGTAAACGCATACCGGGATATCCCCATCAAAGCGTGTGTTCTGCGTATGCTCTGTTCACAAGGAATCTTGGTCTTTAGAGTAGCGAGACGTCTTGTATGCGCCAGAACTCCGGAAGTAAACAACAAGTTGGGGGCAACATGGCGAGTCGCGGCACAGCACCACACTTTGAGTGACGAGGAAACTAAAGCGCAAACAAACGCGGTCGCTATCTCTTCCGAACTGGGAAACATGTTGTTTTCACGGATACCGGAGCAAGAAGAACCGGAAATGAAGCATATTGCGTCTGGACGTAGTCCATACGTCCTGACGCTACCCCAACGTCCGCATTTAAATCGGGTTATGCAAGTTAGAGGTAACTCTTTCTATTTATGCTTGTAAACGGGTTATTCTGATCAACTCAGAAACCCGAATACCGACCTTAACCCGATCATAACCCGGATATTGGCTGCATGTAAACGCAGTCTGTGTAATCCATACCCTCTCCAGTAGTGTTAGTTATACAGTGTTTATAAAAGCCCCTCAGACATCACTGACATGTTCTAATATTATCAGATGAAAAACTAAATTATCAGACATGCTGTCTCATCTGCTTCTTTTCTAAACTTGCAAAAAGTAACAAAACCATTTGAAAGCCACTATTTGTGGATTCTCTGAAAGTTTCCATGGAGTGTGTGACAACTTATTTTTTCATTGATCCTATCGTCTAATCTCACAGCTGAAACAAGCATCCTTAATAATCTGTGCACAGGAAGCTTACCGATGCTGTAGTAAAACAAAAGGTATAATAATTTATTATTAATAAAACCTTGTTGCAGCACTAAAGCAGAAAAATGAGATTTTGCAATAAATATGCTAAATATTTACATATGAATTGTTTTAGAGTCCTTTTATTGGCAGAATCTGATATTAATTTAGTTCTTACAAAAAAATGGGTCCCAACATGGTTTGTGTGGCGTTGCCATAGTGTGACGTCATAGGCACAGACCCCCTGTCCTCTTGTTTGGAAATGGAAATATGGTCACCCTACATTAAACAAACTGTCCACCCGGGCTTTTGCGCTGCACAGAGACGCTTCGCTGCCTATGACTGGACGTCAGTTGAGAGTCAGTCTCATGCAGACTGACCAATGAAGAGAGGGCCTCAAGTTAAGACCCTCTCCTCATTGGTCAGTCCACACGAGGTGGGTCAAAGGTTACCCTGAGCGGGTTACGTGATGTCAGGCATTCAAGTATTGAGTATATTTACTGCATATTACAGTAAAATATTCTGTATGTGACCATATTATGGTGATCCTTGGGTCGTGATGATGGGGCCCTTGAATATTGTTGCCCAGGGCACAACAAAGTGTTAATCTGGCCCTGCCAGTACCTGTGTCCATGCTGTCCAGGTCCAGGTGGTGAAGAACACACGATGAATCAGTCCCAGATCCTGAAGTGGTAGCAGGTTTTCTTTAGCCGTGTTTAGCTAACAGCTGCAATAGAAACAAAGCAGGAGAGCTGATTAAGATGCTGCTTCAGAACAACGCAGGAGATTAAAGATCCAACGCTTTGGTTCTGGCCAAAAGAACAGCAGCAGATCCAGAGGGCAGGAAGTCTAGAGAAAAGCTTCTCACCCACAACCTGATTCTGAAGCTCCGATTGTCACGAAGACCGCAGAATATCTTCTCCGGTTCTGGAAAGAACTCCACCAAGTTGTTGAGGAGGAGAAGAAAGTTTCCACAGCCTGGTGAGAAGATTTCTGCAGCAGCAGCAGTTAGTCGCTTTAGCTGATCAACTCTCCCAGAGACTGAAGTGAAGACATTTTTACTGCAGAGCCTCAAATATTCTCCTCACACACCAGAACAACAAGCTAGCTCTGCTAGCAGCTTCCGGTTTCTGCTTCTGGTGGTCGGTGACCAGCATAAAGGTGCACTACCGCCACCTGCTGGTCTTGAGTCTGGAACAAACTGATATGATACGTTACGTTGAAAATGGTCACAAAAATGAAGACCCAGTTGGTGACTTTTCGGCTTCTATACTCACCCAATACTCCAGGGGTTGGGAACCTATGGGTCGCAAGCCAGATGTGGTCTTTTGATGGCTGCACCGCAGGCTCGCACACAAATGTTTGATTAAAAAAAGTAACGATAAAAATAAAAAATTTTCATGTATTTCAATCCATTAATTTCAGCTCGTGTCCATGGTTGTGGCAGGCATGAAGCCAGGTTTTCATACTTGGGTGAGCCTTAATTACATTCTCAATAAAAATTTCATACATTTTTCATGAATATTTATTCTAAACAAGCTAACCTGATTGTCAAGTAACATATTAATGTTACAATTAATGAATTTCACTTAAGGTAGGAACATTTCACCTGCCGTGACCCAAACACACTCCTTCCTTCTCCGTGTAAACCTGAACAGGTCGCCGACTTGTGCGTAATCAAATATCTGGGTTTGCTCTCTTTAGTCCAGTGGCCAGCAACTCCCGGCCCTGGAGCCGCAGGCGGCTCTTTCATCAGCATCATCTCTGTGCTTGTAAAATAATTAATATTTAATTAAAACGCATTTTTTACTGCATTCACTTCTTTATGTGTATGCCAATTCTAAATATAAAGATTGTCTGCGTAAACTTCAACAGGCCCACGTGAGACCTGTTGACGGGTCACCTGCTTGTGTGTAATCAGATGTCTCTATAGGCGCTTTCTGAGCTGAACAGGATACCAGGGAACATTTTCTAAGTGACAAGTCTCTCTGAGAGACAGGGTTTGGAAAACACTCGCTTCAGTGAGAGGAATCTTCTCTGGTTCTTCTGCTGCCTGTGACCGAAGTGATCCAAGCCCCTCTCCACATCTTGTTGTCCACCTTACGTACACGCTGTTAGCGAGCTGTGCTGAGCAGTGTCCAGCTCAGATGTTCTGATGGGAATCTTTTCTTGATTGATTTAGCTCCCTCCGCGATGTAACAATTAAAATGTCGGCTCACCTGCATGCGTTGGGGTATTTCTTTCTATTCTTTCTCCATCAAAATAAACAATCAAATAGGAGGAATATCAAGTCAATGCGAACGCTGCCCTTTAACTGTTTTGCTCTCTTCCGAAGATTGTTGCAAAGGGAAACAACTAGACTTGATTTACATCAGAGCCGTGCACCGTGAGCTCTCAGTGACTGTAAATGAGAGGGAAAAACAAATTGATCGGATCCTTTTCTTACCTTTTAAACATTGTTTAATGTATGCTTTCGTTCTGTACAAAGTTTATAACAATCCAACGAGACAGAGCCTGGATTTGTATTCTGAACAGTTAAAACATGTTTTAAAAGGAGACCTGCGATGCATCAAAAAGCGGCTCCAGCTCAAATGTAAAACCACCAACAGGGTGAAAAATATCTAAATATTGTACACACAGATGGCCTGCCACCAGGGGTGGACTGGGACTACAGTTCAGCCCTGGCAAATTTCTGAACCGTCGTTCCACAGAGCAGGGATGTGTGTGCTGCTGCTTGCGCACTCGTCTCTATGCCGCCAACTGTGAGGGCGAATGTTGCGTCGGCTCAAGCTGGGCAAGTGGCCCACCGGGACAGTGCCAGAATGCCAGATAGCTCAGTCCACCCCTGGCTACAACTTCTGGATCAAGTTTATACAAATAGTTTTATTAATTATCTTCTGTTGAAAGATAACATGAGCAAACGGTATTGGTTGCGGTCATCTGTTGTGATCGGTTAAAGCAGCTCTCAGCTGTCTAGGGTGGGCCCAAGTGCAGGTAAGTGGGCCAGCCCACAACGCCGCGGCTGCTGTGGCTCCCAGTGTTTTCTTTACTGTGGGAAACGAGTAATGTTACCTCATTCAAGAACATTTAGGCAGTCAGAAACACAAATGTGATAATAAAACTGCTAAACTATTTCTAAAACATACATAAAAGTACAGATTTTCAAAAGAGACGCAATATATTTTGGCAGAGCAGTATTGCTGTAGCATGAAGTCATCAACAGGCGCAAGCCCCCAAGCAGATCTGGAAGGTACAGTGCCTGAAAACTACAATTGGCACTGCATTCTCTTATGGAATTACCTGAAGAACCATCAGAGTCTGAGGAGTCACGCCAAAGCTGCATTCTTTCTGCTCCACAGGTAACATTCACTGTAAAGTTTTATTAAACTAGAGACAGTCAGGAAGATGTGATTTAAAACCACCCTGTATGTAGTGCCCTCTAGTGGCTGGAAACCAAACACTGCAACTAAGTTCTTTTTAACAAGGAAAGCACTTGCTTCTGTGACAGGAAATATTACGCATGCACTCTTACGGTGCTGCTGTGTTTGCCTGTGACCCTAATAAGCCACACAAAAGGTAATGATGGAACCAAAATATTTCATGACAAAAAGTAAGCTAATAAGACTAATACTGCAATGATATAAAATTCTATCCTCAGCAACAAGTTTATGTCATGTGTGGAGAGTTAAAACACGTCATTTGAGTAAATCTTTGTCCACAGACAAACGGTTCCTGTCCTGAGTGGAATCTCATGTGTCTGTTTAAATACAGCTGAACAGCAAATCTTTGTCAACAGATTTCTACGACAAACGGTTCCTGTCTTGAATGGACTATCATGTGTCTGTTTAAATATCTCTGATTAGCAAATCCTTTTCCACAAAGTTCACAGACAAAAGGTTTCTGTCCTGTGTGGATGCTCATGTGATAGTTTAAATTTTCATTTCGAGTAAATCTTTGTCCACAGAGTTCACAGAAAAATGGTTTGTGTCCTGTGTGGACTCTCACGTGACAGTTTAAATTTGTATTTCGAGAAAATCTTTGTCCACAGAGTTTACAGACAAAAGGCTTCTGTCCTGTGTGGACTCTCATGTGTTCATTTGCATTTTTCTTTTGAGAAAATCTGTGTCCACAGACATCACAGGCAAAGGGCTTCTGTCCTGTGTGGACACTCATGTGTCTGTTTAAACTTGTCTTTTGAGAAAATCTTTGGCCACAGAGGTCACAGACAAAAGGCTTCTGTCCTGTGTGGACTCTCATGTGTTCATTTAAAATTTTCTTATGAGAAAATCTGTGTCCACAGACATCACAGGCAAAGGGCTTCTGTCCTGTGTGGACTCTAAGGTGTATGTTTAAATTTGTCTTTTGAGAAAAACTTTGATCACAGAGTTCACAGACAAAAGGTTTCTGTCCTGTGTGGAGTCTAACGTGTCTCTTTAGATTATGTTTATGACTAAATATTTTTCCACATTCATTACAACTCAATGCTGTCATTTCTCTGTGGACTTTAAGGCTTGGGTCTGCATGTTGCTTCACTTTAACACTTTTCTTAGTAACCAAACAGCCTGAAGATGTTATTGCTGAATGACCTTTCACATGTTTCTGGAGAGACCTCCTCTGGAGAAACTGTTTACCACACTCAGGGCAGCTAAAGGATCTGTTGACAGACTTAACACCTGACTCATTCCAGTCATCCTCTTTGTCTTCAGTTTCAGACCCAGAGTCTGAAGTCACACCCTCCTCTGAAGTCACATCCTCCTCCTCCATATCATCATCTCCACTAACTTCAGTCTCTGAAGAATCAGATGTCTGTTCATGAGGGTTCAGGTCTGGGTTCCTGCTAGTTTCTGCTCCTCCACCAGTTTCTGCTGTCAGCTGGTCAGCTGAGCTGCTGGTTGGCCCATCTATGTCTTCTATTTGTTGCTGATGAAGCTGTGAGACCAGAGGTTTCTCTTCATCATCCTCACTCTTTATAGAAATTGCAGTGAATGGAAACCTGGCAGCATCAGTCTCCTCCTTCAAATGAAGCTGTTCTCCCTCCAGACTGGTCCAGAGTTCCTCCTGTTCCTCCTTCACTTGAAAACGTTCTGGGTGCTGCTGGTCCACACCAACACTCTGTTCTTCAGGAGCTTCTTCTTTAACCAGAACTACCTGTTGAATCTCTGTAGGAAACACAGAAATACGTTGATGTGAATAGCTGACTGCTGTAACTTTATACTCATTTGTTTCTATACTTGCCCAGTAGTATGTCTGTTGTCATTGATTCATGCAGGTCCACATATATATTAAATGGTACACAAAGAGAACACTTATACATTCTCTATATCTCGCTGTTGACAGTGCACGCCAGCAGACAGTGTGCTGAAGAGGACCAGTGTGACAGACCAGTGCACAAGAGTGCAATGTCGAGTGCTTCCAGATCTGGAAAGTGAAAAACCATTCTTTCGGAGTCTTGCTGGTATCTGGTTATGCCCATCCATCCATTGTCTTCCGCTTATCTAGAATCGGGTCGCTGGGGCAGCAGCCTAAGCATATAGTCCCAGATCCCAGACTTCCTTCCCTAGCTACTTGGGCCAGCTTCTCTGGGAGAATCTTAAGAAGTTCCCTGACCTGATATACAGTAATCCCTCGCTACTTCGCGGTTCGTTCATCGCGGATTTTTTCTTTGGAGCATTTTTCAGGGGGAATTCGCAGATAAGCGGTATTTTTCACTGATTCGCGGTATTTTTCTATGCGAAATATCAAGAAATTCTTGTTTTTTTTTCATCAATTTCATCATAAAATGCACTTTTTGTAATAAAACTAAAAAAAACAAGTAAAAAAAATTTTTTTCTTGAGTTTTACCCACAAAAACAGAATGTGATCATACGATAATTCAATATAGTACTGTATGTCAGACAGGTCAGCTGGATTCGGGAGTTGAGCTTGTAGGGAGCGTGGTTTCACAGACGCGGAAGTGATAGCGTCGGTGAAACGCCGGCTGATCTAGGAAACCCCCGAGCGTTCGAGCGTCAACGAAGTGACACGGAAATGCCGGGCTTTCCAGAAGTAAGTAAGATAACTTACTATGAGCTGATAGTTCGTTGGATTGATCGGTAGGTTGGAAACTCTGATCATGAATCTGAAGAAACGATGACTGAGTGGTGAGCTGGAAAGGCGACTTCCGTTTATAGCCGCGGTTTGTGACGTAGGTGCGACGTGGAGGGAATCCCCGCGAGGGGCATGCTGGGAGTCCCTACTTCGCGGATTTTCACCTATCGCGGCCAGGTCTGGAACGCATCTACCGCGATAAACGAGGGATCACTGTATATGTATATAAGTGCCTCTAGCGCCTGATCAACACATGCTTTTTCTTCTCCAACAGAAACAGCGCTGTGATGAAAACAGGACAGTAATTAATTAGATGACATGTTACTGACAGAAATAACTTTTGTTAGTATGCTGATGTTTTAAACACTTTTATTACCATCACTGTAAATTAGCTATCAGTGAGAGGAAAAAAAAGGAAAATGCGAAGAATACAGAAAAAAAAACTAAACAAATTCAGTTTGAGTTATTTTTGTGAACGCTTATTAGTTTCTGTAATTTTTAAAAATCGTATTTTAAGTATATATATATATGTTTTCAGTGACACAAGTGCAGTGGCTGTCCTTGAACAGGTTATTCGTTAGTCTGTCTCTTGCCGGCTGGACTACTGCAATTCCCTCTACTACGGCCTAGACATGTCATCTGTAACCCATTTACAATTGGTGCGAAATGCTGCAGCCCGTCTTCTAACCGGAACAAGGAAGCAAGAACATATCACTCCAGTGCTTGCTTCCCTTCACTGGCAACCAGTCCATTTTAGGATTCATTTTAAATAACTGCTCTTTGTTTATAAATCTATCCATGGTTTGGCCCCACCTTATGTAGACGATTTACTGTCAGCATACACTCCTGCCAGGAATTTGAGGTCAGGTTCTCAATCATTACTATTGATAACAAAAGCTCATTTAAAGACACGAGGAGACAGAGCTCTTCCTGCGGCCGACCCGAAGCTCTGGAGCAACTTTCCTAGGCAGCTCACAACTTCTCAGAGTTTGGAGACATTTAAGGCGTTGCTAAAAACGTATTTCATTGACCTGGCTTTTAATGTTGATTAAATCTTCAATTGTATTGTTTTACTTATTTTTTATTAGTCTGAGTTTGTTAATGTTATTAGCTTGTTGTTTTAATGGTTGATGTTTTAGTCTATTTCTTGTTGGCATGTTCATCATGGGAGTGTGTACAGCACTTTGGGTTGTGGAAGCAACAGTGCTTTATAGATAACCTTTGACCTTTTTCAAAAATGTTTTTATTCTAGTTTTTGTTATGTGGTGGGCTCTTATGCTCTGTGTATAGTAGTAAAAATGGTACATGGTATTTAAAGTAGAGCTTACTAGAGTCCTAGAGCCCCCCAAGGTGCTTTACAACACACACACACACACACACACACACACACACACACACACACACACACACACACACACACACACACACACACACACAACCAGTACCTGTGTCCATGCTGTCCAGGTCCAGGTGGTGAAGAACACACGATGAATCAGTCCCAGATCCTGAAGTGGTAGCAGGTTTTCTTTAGCCGTGTTTAGCTAACAGCTGCAATAGAAACAAAGCAGGAGAGCTGATTAAGATGCTGCTTCAGAACAACGCAGGAGATTAAAGATCCAACGCTTTGGTTCTGATCAGCTGAGGACAGATCCAGTCTGGAAAAGAGGACCTTTGCTCACCAGAGTTCACGGAGTAGAGCTAACCGCTTTTTCCTCCAGAGTCACATTCAGATTCGGGGCTTTTCCGTCGGAGAGTGTGAGCAGGATGGATGAGAGAGCGAGCAGCGATCCTGCATCATGACCAACTCAGATGAGCGAGTCTGATAGAGGGAACCTCTTCAATCTGATGAAAGCAGCAAAACGAGCGCGTTTCTCAGAGAGGCCAAAGGAACAGCAGCAGATCCAGAGGGCAGGAAGTCTAGAGAAAAGCTTTTCTCACCCACAACCTGATTCTGGAGCTCCGATTGTCACGAAGACCGCAGAATATCTTCTCTGGTTCTGGAAAGAACTCCACCAAGTTGTTGAGGAGGAGAAGAAAGTTTCCACAGCCTGGTGAGAAGATTTCTGCAGCAGCAGCAGTTAGTCGCTTTAGCTGATCAACTCTCCCAGAGACTGAAGTGAAGACATTTTTACTGCAGAGCCTCAAATATTCTCCTCACACACCAGAACAACAAGCTAGCTCTGCTAGCAGCTTCCGGTTTCTGCTTTGTTCGGTAGTCGGTGACCAGCATAAAGGTGCACTAGCGCCACCTGCTGGAGCGGAATAAAACACACCTGTGTGTTCAGCACAAACCACACAGGACTTGTGATAACTTCCCCAAACAATAACTTATTTTTTATATATATATTTTCCTTTTTAACCTGTTTCTTTAACAGAGCTGAAAAGCAGGTCAAGACTGTTCCTTCATAATCGTCATTATTCAAATCTGACCATGTCTCTTCACTTGATGACCTAAAACCAAAGTGAACAAGTTTTGTTGTTTGTTTTGTTTTTCATGTAACCAGCCCTGGGAAGCAAACATTTCTTTTGCTAATTTGAGAATTGTTTCATGCAATGATTGATGAGGCCACTCACTGTGAGTCCTGATAGGCAAGAGTAAATTAAAGAATAATGCTCAATATATTACATGTTACACATATAACACATTAAATATAGTACTATAATGTAGCATACACCAATAACATACTCAATATAAAAATTTATCCAAACTGTTCCGCTTATCTGGAGTTGGGTTGTGAGGGCAGCAGCCTAAGTCAAGAGACCCACACTTCCGTCTCCCCAGCCACTTAGGCCAGCTCTTCTGGGGAAATCCCAAGGTGTTCCCTGGCCAGGCAAGAGACATAGTCCTTCCAACATGTCCTCCCTTTAGGTATCCTCCCGATTTGAACGGCGGATCTACTCCATGCCCTTCCCAGATGTCCAAGCTGAGAGAAGAAAGAGGTCAGCCACCATGCGGAGAAAAGTCATTTTGGACAGCATCTCTCACATCGTCTGTTCCAATTCGTCCTAGTTTTGACCTTAAACAGTGTGTCACCAGCCTGGAGTGAAATTGGATATTGGACATGCAATGGTCTCTCAAATAAATGCAGTTGTGAAATCGTACTTTGTTCAACCACATCGTTTAACAAGCCTGAAGCCCACATTGAGACGGTCCCATTTGGAATCTGTTATTCACGCATTTATCACCTCCCGGTTGGACTAAGCAAACTCCCTCCTCCTTGGCTCCCCTGCTATGGCACCAAACAGGCTGCAGTTGGTGCAAAATGCTGCTGCGAGGGTTTTAACAAGCAGATGTAGCTACATCACCCCGTTTCTCTCCAGCTTCACTGGCTGCCACTCAACTTCAAGGTTCATTTCAAGATCCTGGTTCTGGTCTTTAGGGCCTTACATGTGTGACAGGGTTAGAGTCACTGTATCCCGATTGATCATGCACTCTGGCTACTTGGCCAAAGGCATGTCCCTTTGGTTAGTGTGTGTGTCTTTCACCCGGGAGACTGGGGACCGAATCCCACCACCCCACATCTGGTTTATAAACATCATATACATTTTCTCTTTCGTCCTCTCTGGAGGATGTATTTGATCCTCTGTTGTTATTGATTAATCGTTAAAGTCCCATAGTCACCATCACACACTGGTGCAATTACATCTCTGCATTTGACCCATCCCCGTAGGGAGTGGTGAGCTGCAGATTTGACTGCACTAAGGAACTATCTGGTGGTTTAAATTCAACGTTAAAAGAAAATACAGTTCAGTGATAGTTACATATAGTTACATATTTTTACTGCTACAATACTCTGTTCAAATGAAATGGTTGAAATGATGTTTAGACACTCACTCTGCTAAGAAAACTAAATCAACAGAATATGAAAGTTATATAATTATTATGAATTATTAAGCACTACACATCTGAAAACATTTCTGAATATTCTAATGATCCATATGGGGCAGACAGTATCAAAAGCTGAAAAATTAATGCAGGAGATGCAGGGAGGTGAGTTTATCTCAGCTGTTTATTGGATGTCTCTGAACCACCGTTAGCGGAAAATGTCATTCTATCTGATGTTTTTAGTTCTAGTTTAGGTAATGTTACAGGGACATGGAATTATATTATCTCACACAAACCTTCAGGTGTGTAGATCAATAATCACAGGAAGAATTCGCTTCTGCAGAAACCAAAACTGTGTCACAGACTTGTGGTTTTTACAAACTTTAGTTTATTTTTGAAAATTAAGATAAGCAGCACATACGACAGGTAATATTGTTCCAAAATTATTTTTTCTACACTCAACAAAAATATAAATGCGACACTTGTTTTTGCTCCCATTTTTCATGAGCGGAATTCAAACATCTGAAACTTTTTCTACACACAACACCCATGACTCTCAAATATTGTTTTGAAATCTGTCTACATGTGTGTTAGTGAGCACCTTTCTTTTACCAAGATAATCCATCCCACCTCACAGGTAAACACTAGACAGCATGAATAATGTACAAGTGTGCCTTGACTGCCCACAATAAAAGGACACCCTAACACATTCACAGTTTTGCTTTTTTTTTTTGGAGGGGTGGGGGGCAGAAATCCAGGAGGCAGACATTTTTTGGTTATGCAAACTGATTGTTACTACAGCTGTACGGGTGGCTGGTCTCAGGTGATCCTGCTGCATGTGAAGGTCCTGGGCTGGTGTGGTCACACGCGGTCTGCGGTTCTGAGGTCACTTGGATGTGCTCCCAAATTCACTGAAACGCCTTTGGAGACGAGGGTGGCCTTTTCCGTAGTGTGGATGCGCAAATGTCTGTTTAAACTTTGCTTATGAGCAAATCTCTGTCCACAGAGTTCACAGGAAAACGGTTTCTGTCCTGTGTGGACTCTCAGGTGAATGTTTAAACTAGTCTTTCGAGTAAACCTTTGTCCACAGAGTTCACAGGCAAAAGGTTTCTGTCCTGTGTGGACTTTCAAGTGGCTGTTTAAAGTATGCTTATAAGTGAATCTTTGTCCACAGAACCCACAAACAAAAGGTTTATGCCCTGTGTGGACTCTCATGTGAATGTTTAAACTAGTCTTTTGAGTAAACCTTTGTTCACAGAGTTCACAGGCAAATAGTTTCTGTCCTGTGTGGATGCTCATGTGTCTTTTCATATATTGCTGATCAGTAAATCTTTTTCCACAAAGTTCACAGGCAAATGGTTTCTGACCTGTGTGGACAATCATATGAATGTTTAAACTTGTCTTTTTAATAAATCTTTTTCCACAAAGTTCACAGGCAAATGGTTTCTGACCTGTGTGGATGCTCATGTGATTGTTTAATCTTGTCTTTTGAGTAAATCTTTGTCCACAGAGTTCACAGGCAAATGGTTTCTGTCCTTTGTGGACTCTTATGTGATAGTTTAAACTTGCATCTTGAGTAAATGTTTGTCCACAAAGCTCACAAGAAAAAGGTTTCTGTCCTGTGTGGACTGTCATGTGGCCCTTTAAATAATCCTTTCTGCTAAATCTTTGTCCACACAGTTCACAGGTGAAAGGTTTGTGTCCTGTGTGTATGCTCATGTGGCTATTTAAATATGCTTTTCTGCGAAATCTTTTTCCACACAGTTGACAGGCAAAAGGTTTCTGTCCTGTGTGTATGCTCATGTGGTCCTTTAAATAATATTTTCTGCTAAATCTTTGTCCACACAGTTCACAGGTAAAAGGTTTCTGTCCTGTGTGTATGTTCATGTGGCTATTTAAATATGCTTTTCTGTTAAATCTTTGTCCACACAGTTGACAGGTAAAAGGTTTCTGTCCTGTGTGGAGTCTAACGTGTGTGTTTAGATATTTTATTTTGCTAAATATTTTTCCACAGTCATTACAACTAAATGCTGTTAGTTCTTTTTGGACTTTACAGCACGAGTCTACATGTTGCTTCACTTTAACACTTTTCCTATTAACCAAACAGCCTGAAGGCCTTATTGCTGAATGACCTTTCACTCTCACATGTCTCTGGAGAGACGACTTGTGGAGAAACACTTTACCACACTCAGGGCAGCTAAAGGATTTGTTGACAGACTTAACACCTGACTCATTCCAGTCATCGTTGTAATCCCCAGTTTTAGGCTCTGACAGCTCAGAGTCTGGATTCACATCATCATCTCCACTCACTTCCGTCTCTGAAGAATCGAAAGTCTGTTCATGTGGGTTCAGATCTGGGTTTCTGTTAGTTTCTGCTCCTCCACCAGTCTCTGCTGTCTTCATGTCAGTTGAGCTGCTGGTTGGGACATCTCTGTATTCTATTTTTGGCTGATGAAGCTGTGAGAACAGAGGTTTCTCTTCATCATCCTCAATCTTTATAGAAACTGCAGTGAATGGAAACTTGGCACCATCAGTCTCCTCCTTCAAATTAAGCTGATGTTCCTCTAGACTCGTCCAGAGTTCCTCCTTTATGGTTAGACTTTCTGGGTCCTGCTGGTCCACACCACCACTCTGTTCTTCAGGAGCTTCTTCTTTAACCAGCACCAGCTGATAAAAATCTGTAGGAAACACAGAAACACATGATGTGATTTACTGACTGGTGTTGTTAAGCATCAGAATAATATGCTCTGTTGTGTATTGCATCTATGTAAATATGTGTATATGTATATGCTTTTATTGTGAAAAGTACAATAGAGAAAGTTGAACTTTGACATCATAGAACTGCACCAATAAAAAGGGAGCATTGGTGTTTGTAGTGTCAGTGTGTGCTACCACCAGTGAAGGCCCGTTGAAACAGACGCTCTGTTTATTGATTTATTTCCTCCTTTTAATCCTGGAGATTCGTTTGGGAGTCTTGGACCAACAGCTGGATAAATCAAACTCTGCTAACAGGTTATGAGCCCAGAGCAGAGACCAAGAACCAGACCAGAATGAGTTGTGAACCAGGAACGCTGAGCACCAAGCTAATCAGGACAGCTGGGAAAGCATCCTGCTAGCGTGTGAGGAGCACAGAACCGACCAACAGCAAGTCCGGTGAGTCGAGCAAGAGCTACGACGTGTGTCGGACACCATGAGTCGGAAGACAGCGGAAGCCAGTACCCGCTGGTCAAGACTGGAATTTGACGGAGACGAGGATAAATATGAACTATGGGAAACAAAGTTTCTCGGACACCTCCGGCTACAAGGTTTGAAAGACATTATATTAAAGCCGAAAGATGACGATGATGATGAGGAATATGATTCAAAGAACGCAGAGGCATATGCCGAACTTATACAATTTTTGGATGATAAGAGCCTTTCACTGGTAATGAGAGACCCAGCTGACGACGGGCGGAAAGCTCTAATTATTTTGAAAGAACACTATGCCGGGAAGGGAAAACCCCGCATAATAAGCTCATACACCGAACTGACTGTATTACACCAGAAAAGCGGCGAGAGTGTAACGGACTATGTTTTGAGAGCCGAGGCCGCCATTACAGCGCTGAACACTGCAGGTGAAACTTTGAGCGATGGACTGCTAATAGCAATGGTTTTAAAAGGTCTACCAGAATCATTTATGCCTTTTAGAATCCATGTGACGCAAAGTGATGATGACATAACTTTCTCAGAATTTAAAAGTAAACTGAGAAGTTACGAAGAAACTGAAAAACCGTGTGTGGCCACTGCCACAGAGGACAATGTGATGGCAGCACGGATGAATCAGAGGGTCAAGCACCCGAAGCCGAAATATGTTCAACCAAGCGTGAACGAGGGGAGCGCTGAGAGTAAAGACTTTATTTGTTTCAAATGCGGTAAGAAGGGACACAAAGCTAATATATGTGACCGCAAAAAGTGGTGTAGTCATTGCAAAACCACTACGCACCAGACTGAAGTGTGCAGAAAGAAACATCGAGAGGATGAAGCACGGAAAGCTGCTGATGACTACGAGGGAAAGGAATAGGCATTCCGACTACAAGACGCTGACGGCGAGATGGAAGAAACCAGAACCAGGAATCTGATGGTGGACACAGGAGCAACGTCGCACATCATCACGGAGCCAGAGAGGTTCAGGAGTTTCGACAAGGACTTCGAGCCGAGGTCGCATTACATCGAGCTGGCAGACGGAACCCGGAGCAGAGGAGTAGCTGAACGAAGAGGAGAGGCTGTGGTAACTTTGATCGACAGCAGAAGGGTCCAACACAAGGTGGTGCTAAAGAGAGCACTATACATCCCTTCATAGCCCCAAGACATTTTCTCTGTGAAGGCAGCAACCAATGGAGCAATGGTCATCTTCAAGCGAGGTAACAACGTACTGAGACATTCTGATGGAACGAGATTCCCCATCAAGGAGTACAACAGACTATTCTATCTACGAACTGTGAGTAGAAAACAAACAGACCAATGTAATGCTTCTTATGACCTGAAAACATGGCATGAGATAATGGGACACTGCAATTTTGATGACATTAAGAAACTGCAGGGAGTAGTAGATGGGATGGACATCAAGGATAAAACTGTTAGAACAGAAAAGGACTGTGAAGTCTGTATAAAAGGTACATTTTGTCAGACAAGAAATAGAGAGCCGGATGTTAAAGCTAAGACTGTTTTGGAACTCGTGCATACAGATCTGGCAGGACCAATAAGTCCAGAAACAAAAGAAGGATTTAGGTACGCTGTTTCATTCACTGACGACTTTTCCGGTGCAATATTTGTGTATTTTCTCAAACACAAAAATGATACAGTGCAAGCAACAGAGACATTCATTGCCGACACCGCACCATTTGGTACCATAAAGTGCATACGTTCAGATAATGGAACAGAGTTTACATGTGGAGAGTACCAGAAACTACTCAGGGAGAATAGGATAAGACATGAAACTTCAGCCCCTTACTCCCCACACCAGAACGGCACAGCTGAACGAAGCTGGCGAACGCTTTTTGACATGGCAAGATGTATGCTAGAGAGTAACATACCGAAGTCCTTATGGGTTTATGCTGTTCAAACGGCCGCCATTACGAGGAACAGATGTTACAACAGACGTTTGAGAGCAACACCATATGAAATGTTAAGCGGTAGAAGACCTAACTTGTCAAAAATGCACAAATTTGGTGTACCCTGTTACGCGTACAAACAGAACAAAGGGAAACTTGACTCCAGAAGTGAAAAAGGGATTTTTGTGGGTCATGACAAAACTAGTCCAGCATATCTGGTTTATTTCCCAGAGAGTGGTAAGACTCTGAAACACAGATTAGTTAAGTTTTTAACAAGAGAACCTGAAGAAGAGACACAAACAGAAATAGTGTCAGACGATGAACCAAAGTTCCTAGTTAGGACAAGAAGGGAGGTTGAAGACAAAACACCCGGGCAGAAAGAGGAAGACCCAGGAGAAGGAACAAGTCATACAAAACCTCTAGATGAACCAGAACAAACATCATCGCGTTATCCCACCAGAGAGAGAAAGAGACCAAGTTACTTGAAAGATTATGTAACAAAGGGTTATGTAACGGAGAATGGTGATGATCAAGTTTTAACTAACTTGGAATATTGCTACAGACTTTTTACTGATGTACCGTTAACTTATGAAGAAGCAATAAAATCAGCTGACTCAGAAGCATGGAAAGGAGCCATGGAGGAAGAACTAGCCTCACTGAAAGACAATGAGTACGTTTACATGCAGCCAATATCCGGGTTATGATCGGGTTAAGGTCGGTATTCGGGTTTCTGAGTTGATCAGAATAACCCGTTTACAAGCACAAATAGAAAGAGTTACCTCTAACTTGCATAACGCGATGTAAATGCGGACGTTGGGGTAGCGTCAGGACGTGTGGACTACGTCCAGACGCAATATGCGTCATTTCCGGTTCTTCTCGTTCCGGTATCCGTGAAAACAACAACATGTTTCCCAGTTCGGAAGAGATAGCGACCGCGTTTGTTTGCGCTTTAGTTTTCTCGTCACTCAAAGTGTGGTGCTGTGCCGCGACTCGCCATGTTACTCCCAACTTGTTGTTTACTTCCGGTGTTCTGGCGCATACAAGACGTCTCGCTACTCTAAAGACCAAGATTCCTTGCGAACAGAGCATGTGCAGAACACACGCTTTGATGGGGATATCCCGGTATGCGTTTACACGACCAAACATTCGGGTTAGAAAAGGGTTACCCCAGGTGTATTAACCGGGTTTTTAAAAACCCGGTTATGAGCATATCCGGGTTTCTGGCGGTGTTTACATGGACCTGCGGAACCGGGCTATTGTGAATATTCGGGTTTTAAAAGGGTTACTGGCTGCATGTAAACGCACTGATTGACACTTTCACTCTGACAACTTTGCCAGAAGGCAGAAAGACAGTGGGGGGAAGATGGGTGTTTACCATTAAAAGGAATGTAGATGGAACAGATAAGCATAAAGCTAGATACGTGGCTAAAGGGTTCAGTCAGAAAAAGGGAGAAGATTATGAGGAAACCTTCTCACCTACGGCACATTTAAATAGTGTTAGAATCCTAATGCAGAAAGCAGTGCATGAAAATCTGTTGCTACATCAAATGGACGTTAAAGCCGCCTACCTTCATGCCCCGATAGATCATGAAATACACCTGGAACAACCTGAGGGTTATGAAATACTGGCACAAAAGAATGAGAAACTAGTGTGTAAACTAAACAAAGCTATACAGATGGACTTAAACAGGCAGGTAGAAACTGGAACACTGTTTTACATGAATATTTGTGTGAAAATGACTTTGTACGAAACCCTGCTGATCATTGTGTGTATACCAGGCAAAGGAAAGAGGACAAGATAGCATTGATGCTACACCTGAGAGTAAATCTGTGAGGCTTGTCACCAGCATCCAGACATCAATTCTGTTTGCTTCACAGCCAAACAGGACACGGGGAAAAAAAAAGAACCATAGCATTAGAACGACTGTAAAATTAACCCTTTAAGCATCAAAGTCGCATTATTTCGTTTAACGAGCCACAGCTGCAAGCATAATCCCTCATTAAGTTAATAATACTTTACACCAGGAGGTAGTAGAGATGTGTACCTTCAATCTGAACAACACTTTTGGGTGTTTCTATTGAAATGTTCGCAGAGGACGAATATTATTATATATTAGATTAGAAACTTGGAGGTCTGTTCACTGGTGACAAAGCTCATTGTCTGGTAATATCTGACTCTGACTCTGAAGAGTAATATTCATCCTCTCATGAAGATATTCACTTGTTAAGAGAGGAACACGGTGGTGCTACTGCACACAGCAACAGAGTCTGTGTGCTTCATGAGAGTAAACACGCTTCACACATGATCCAAAGCTTATTTCACTGTATTCAGGACATGGTGGGTGTAGAAAGGATAGTTAAAAAAAAAACACTAATAGCGGTAACGTAAAAGAAGAGGGAAAAAAAATGCAATGCAGACGCAGTACATATGGAACCAGGGGTTTTCCTGGCTCAAACTGAGGCAGAGGTGGTACCATCCTGGCCATGCGCCAGCACAGGCATACGCTGTGCATTTAACTGCCTCACTTTTTTAAAGGCAAAATATTATAAAAGGCTCAATAATATGCATTAGATTGGTGTTTAGTTCCCTTTTTCCCATCTGATACTTATAGTTAAAAATATTTTAAATATTAGACCTACATTTCGGTAACATTTTAGGTTTGTATTAATAACACTCATCTTAGTCAGACTAACACATAAATATATCCAGTAACATATAATGCAATTAATTAACATGCATTTGTATTGGAAATGGTAATAACATTTAATTTCTGCTGCTAACAATGTAATGGTGGCATGTCTATTATGTACGGGTTAGGGCAGGGATTCCCAAAGTGTGGTGCGCGCACCCCTGGGGGTGCGTGAGCTGCGGCTAGGGGGTGCACGAGGTGAAAAGTGTAATGGCTGCGGAGCTCAGAGAAGTCTGTCATGTGTCACCATTATTGTAGAAACTCATTTGTGGGTGGGCCAAGAAAAAGTAAGTGGGCCCAATAAATGTAATTGAAAACAAGTATATTTTTGCGCGCGCGTGTCCTCCACATGTGCCCTAGCTTCATAATAATAATAATGCGCCGAGCTTCAGCACTCTGGCCTGCGCACGCCGATATGTTCCGTATTTGATCATTTTTAACGGTGTTGGAGAAATCTGAAGGTGGCGAGTCATTCTGGCAGATTGTAATTAACACCTGTCTCATGCAGGTGTTCTGACGTTGTAAACCTCACACACAGAACATTGTGGATGTAACAAAATAACAAGAAATGATTCCCATTCAGGCTATTGACAGCGCGCTGACGATCTGAAGTTCAGAGTGCGTCTGTCAGAGGTCAGATACGTTTCGGCTGAACCACGGCTCACGGGTGCACAAGTGAGCACATCTGGGCTGGGCAGAAGTCATTTTACAACATTGGTTTAAATAGCGCGAGACGCGGTGACTGGAGCGGCTGTGCCGCGCGCACACACACACACACAGATTCAATAAGCGCACACGCTGCTTTAACTCCGGCGCGCCGTCAGACTGAAGGCAGAAATGAACGCTGCCTCCACCGTGATAAAAACTTTTAAGAGGTTATTTTTCATTCAAGGTCAAATTAAGATATTAGCTTCTGGGATGAGTCGGGTCCGCTCCAGCCAGTGACTCCTCATGAACCTGACCACATCTCATGTTACTGCAGCATTTGTTATTCCAGTCCGCGTGGCAGCGGATCGCAGATTCAGCCACACCATAAAACAGCAATAAGTCGGTCTGAGGTAAAAGTGAACATCATGGCTCTATCTTGTCCCCTATAGACATTTGATTACGCACAAGTAGGTGATCAGCTCAGGTTTACGCAGAGCAGAAGGAAGGAGAGCGCTCTGGCCGCACAGGTTAAACGTTCCTACTTTAAGAAAACCGTTAAATTGCATTGTTGATGTGCTACCTGGGCATATATATATATATATATATATAGAGAGAGAGAGAGAGAGAGAGACATGCCCCGATGTGGGGGCTGGGGGGGGGGGGGGGGGGGGCGTCGACATGGTCAGGACATAGAAGGGGGTGCGCGGCTAAATAAGTTTGGGAACCACTGGGTTAGGGTTAGGGGGGTGTTCCGTTTTGCCTTGGCCCCCAAAATGCCTTGAAACAGCCCTGGGTGTGTGACCGAGTATTCAATCAATCAATCAATCAATCAAAGATTCTTTATTAATCCCAGAGGGAAATTAGAGTTTCAGTACACACAATTCAGAGATCAGACATACATGGGCAAAGACTCATGACAAGAATTGGTGACTGTGGTCATTCGCAACCCTGAGTCGTGCTACCTTAATAGAGATAAGAGGGTTACATGAGGATTGGTTCAGGTGGAGGAGAAAAAAGGCACTTCAGAAGTACAGCTTTGCTCTGCAAAAAACACCTCAGACAGAAATGCAACAAACTTCAGACAACACAACAGAAGTGTCCACTAGGTGGGGTGGTGGGTTGGGACTATCCCCACTTCAGTTCCTGCAGCCACGATAAGCAGCGCATGTCACCTCAGTGTGGATGGGGGAGGAGCATTGAGGGTTGGAGGGTTGCAGTGACCCTGGAACGTTTCAGCAGCCTTCCCGCAGTCCCGCCCAGGATGGGATAGGAGACAGAGTTGAGTTGCCATAGTGACAGCACATTCCACATATCTTCTGAGGGGGGAGTTTTCGTTGGAGCCTTGCTGGCTCAAGGACGCCAGATTCCGATTAGAAATTGTTTTGGGGCCAGACAGAGATAATTTCCTCTCTGTCTTACAGTTTGTTGGTCCTCACCTCTCAGAATCCCAATAGTAATGGACGTTAATTTATCCCAATCCGTGCTGATTCGTCCACTCTCTCCTTGATGGCATCCATCTTTTGTGCCAAATAATGAATCTCCGCCAAAAGTCCAAGCTTACGATTCATCTCGACAATTATGCGAGTCTGTGAATTCACAGCGCGGTGCAAACCATCTCTGAGCTCCGGGATCAGGCCAATATTCCTCGACAGCTCGTTAATTTTCCGGTAAGCCAGGTAGCCTCCAAGGCCAATGAGGAGGAAACCTGACACCAGCACCACGAATATCCACACATCTTCAGAGTCCTCCACCGACAGCTGAGATAAACGGATCAAGTTCCACTGTTTCCAGGAGTCCAACTGGGTCTGTCCCTGCAGGACATCCGGGAGCCCCTTCTCCCGTTCTCATTGTTGAAAAAATTTTATCAAACGCGCTGAGAGACCAGCTAACGAGATCCATTTAAATGTATTTCAGTTTCCAAGTTTCCAGAAAAATGCAGAAGCAGCCATGCACCAGCACACACAGACAAACAAAGGGCCTTGAGGATAAGATATGGTGGAGAGGAGGGAAAAAAGCGTCTGCACCCACCAAGAGCCAGAAGAGAAAACGATTTTGAAGGTGATCTGAATGGGATCAGATGTAAAAATATGACATGTGTATAACTTCTTGTTTTATACAGGTAAAAACGTGTAGTGGAGATAAATCTTCCTACATTTAAATTTCAAACTTTAGTTTTCTTGTTTTTATTGAACTATTTTCCTGTCCTGTCTGTCTCTCATCTTCCTGCGTCTCCTCTAAACTCTCTAGAAAATCTGTTGCCTGGATTCTTACTTTTTCACCTCATCAGTTACTTCTGAGCAGATCAAAGGGATCTCCTGACCGCAAAGCGGAGAGCGCGTTTCGATGCTGCGTCAGTGAGGTGAAATCCCTGCAGTACACGAATAGCGGAGCGCATCAGGAACGATTAAAAGACAGAGTACCAGAGGATATAAATGGATATGATCGATCATGTGTTAATAATCATGTTTTATTGGGCCACCTTGAGAATGTATCATGCGCTGGACGCACCAACGATCAGCGCTCTGCGTCCTCTCCGCTCAACAGAATCCCGCTAGGCTGAGAGTCCATAAATATTGTAATATGGGCAGAAACCGGATCTTTCCCTGAAAGATATCTAGCCCCCCATAACTCGATCCCTGCTCCTGGATGAAAAACCGGACATTTGGATCAATGTAGGAAACCCACCTACAACAGCACCAACCATAGCTATGCACCAACTAGCAAGAAATGCTATTTTTGATCTTCATTTTCTGCAGCGCTTTTCGGTGCACCGCTGCTGATACAACGTCACTATAGTGGCGCAACGCTGCAACTGCAGTTAAAATAACATCCGTATAGCTGGGGGCAGAGTGAAATCAGGCTGGGGCGGCACGCAAATTTGAACGCAGGAAAAACCCTGGGAACCGAAAGTAAACGTGCGTCACATAAATGATATGAATGTTCCAGCGTCTGTATGAAAACAGCATTAATAAAAGAGGAATTACTTTTTTAATCAGTACAATTTTTAAATTAAAGAGAAAGGTGTTGCCTGAGGGATGAAACATAGTGGATGGCTGCTTATACTGAGCCAGGATCTTCTGGAGGTTTCTTCCTGTTAAGAGAATTTTCCTCTCCACTGTCGCTAAATGCTTGCTTAGTATGAGGACTGCTGTAAAGTCACTGACACTAATCAGTGGCTTGATGCCATTTGTTGGGTTCCTTAAATAGGAAACTTTTTTCTGATTGGCTTAATGAACTGATCTGGATTAGAATGTTTATTATGTGAAGTGCCTTGAGACGACACTTGTCGTCATTTGGCGCTTTATAAATAAACTTGAATTGAATTGAAAACGGGGTTCACCCGACGTTCTGTTTCGGACATTTATTATTTGTGGGGATTTTTTTTGTGTTTCAGCTGAAAGCTGAAAATGTACTTTTGGGTCATTTGCAGCCGAAAGTTTTCGGTGCATCCCTAATTATTGTTTTAGGATGTTGAGATCGGAACTGACTCAGAAAACAAGAAATTCTTGTCAGGTGAGTGAAAACACACACACACACACACACACACACACACACACACACACACACACACACACACACACACACACACACACACACACCCCAGTACCTGTGTCCATGCTGTCCAGGTCCAGGTGGTGAAGAACACACGATGAATCAGTCCCAGATCCTGAAGTGGTAGCAGGTTTTCTTTAGCCGTGTTTAGCTAACAGCTGCAATAGAAACAAAGCAGGAGAGCTGATTAAGATGCTGCTTCAGAACAACGCAGGAGATTAAAGATCCAACGCTTTGGTTCTGATCAGCTGAGGACAGATCCAGTCTGGAAAAGAGGACCTTTGCTCACCAGAGTTCCCGGAGTAGAGCTAACCGCTTTTTCCTCCAGAGTCACATTCAGATTCGGGGCTTTTCCGTCGGAGAGTGTGAGCAGGATGGATGAGAGAGCGAGCAGCGATCCTGCATCATGACCAACTCAGATGAGCGAGTCTGATAGAGGGAACCTCTTCAATCTGATGAAAGCAGCAAAACGAGCGCGTTTCTCAGAGAGGCCAAAGGAACAGCAGCAGATCCAGAGGGCAGGAAGTCTAGAGAAAAGCTTTTCTCACCCACAACCTGATTCTGGAGCTCCGATTGTCACGAAGACCGCAGAATATCTTCTCCGGTTCTGGAAAGAACTCCACCAAGTTGTTGAGGAGGAGAAGAAAGTTTCCACAGCCTGGTGAGAAGATTTCTGCAGCAGCAGCAGTTAGTCGCTTTAGCTGATCAACTCTCCCAGAGACTGAAGTGAAGACATTTTTACTGCAGAGCCTCAAATATTCTCCTCACACACCAGAACAACAAGCTAGCTCTGCTAGCAGCTTCCGGTTTCTGCTTTTTCCGGTAGTCGGTGACCAGCGTAATGATACACTACCGCCACCTGCTGGAGCAGAATAAAACACACCTGTGTGTTCAGTATAAACCACACAGAACTTGTGACAACTTCCCCAAACAACAACTTAAAGATTTTTCTATATTTTAATTTTCAACCAGTTTCTTTAACAGCGCTGAAAAGCAGGTCAAGACGTTTTCTTCCTAATCGTCATTTTCCAAATCTGACCATGTCTCTTAACTTGATGAAGTTTTGTTTGTGTGTTTGTTTTGTTTTTCATGTAACCAGCCCTGAGAAGTAAACATTTCTTTTGCTAATTTGAGAATTGTTTCATGTTGTGGCAGGGTGGAGAGGCGAGGGCGGGATTTGATCTCCGGACTCCAGAGTGAGAGTCATGCACACAAACCAGTCAGCCAAACATCCCCATGGCCAAGTAGCCAGGGCACATGATCAATCGGGATACAGTGACACTCACCCTGTCACAATGCAATGATTGATGAGGCCACTCACTGTGTGCCCTGATAGGCAAGAGTAAATAAAAGAATGATAACAAAAATAATAATACATTTTATTTAAAAGGGCCTTTCAGAACACCCAAGGTCACTTGACAGAAAACACTTAACAAAATACAATAAAACAATAATAAAACCCAAGCAAGAAAAAAAAATCAAAGAGAGAAACAGTTCAATAAAATCAGAGGTTGTAGGCAGATTTAAACATATGTGTTTTGAGTTTTGTTTCGAAAAGGGTAAAAATGTCGATGTTCCTGATGTCTGGGGGAAGTGAGTTCCAGAGACGAGGAGCAGAGCGGCTGAAAGCTCTGCTCCCCATGGAAGCGAGACGGGCAGAAAGAACCGCAAGATGGATGGAAGAAGAAGATCTGAGAGAACGGGATGGGGTGTGAATACTTACAAGGTCTGAGATATATGGAGGAAAGAGGTTGTGGATTGCTTTGAAGGTATGGAGGAGAATTTTGAAGATGGACCTGAATTTAACTGGGTGCCAGTGAAGCTGCTGGAGAACCGGGGGGATGTGGTGAAAGGACGGGGTTCTGGTGATAATACGGGCTGCTGAATTCTGGACCAGTTGCAATTTATGAAGGAGTTTGTTGGGGAGACCATAAAGAAGTGAATTGCAATAGTCGAGACGGGTTATGCTGGTTTGAAGAGCGTTTCACAAATTAGTCCAAGCCGTTCCAGTAATTAGCAGGATCCCGCCGACTGCCGCTTCCCCAAAATGGAGATTTTGGGCCCAATCTGAGGCGAGTAAACTAAATAATTACTTTTAACAGCTTCTAAAGATCGTTCTCTAACTGTAATGTAGCAGCTATATTTGCTATATTTATAAATGCAAAGTAAGCGAGACGTGGACGTGGTTCAGGTAATAGCTAATATCAGTCCACACTGCCGCAGTCCCGAAGCGAGTGTTGTGTGTGTGTGTGTGTGTGTGTGATCATGTCACAGACGGTTCGGGTTGAGTTTTGTGCCGGTTAGTAATATCAGCGCTGATGCAGAGAAACGCAGGAGGGACACTGACGGATAGCCATCAGCTCCTCCTGCAGCTAAAAAGCTGACCCGGTTCTGAAATGGTGCTGAGTCCGGTTCTCATTAGAACATGTCTGATCTGATTTTAACCTTCTGTCTTTCTTTACCTTCTAGTTTTAACATTATGTCATTATTTTAGCTTATTGTTACACGTGTGTTGCTGCTCTTAAAAACAACAATAAATATATTTGCTGTTTCTTTATATTTCACAGCCTCCCAGCAGCTGTGTGTCTGACACTGGGACCATGATGGGAATTCCACCCAGAGCAGCTTCTACACTCCTGAACAGACCCAGGTGTGGCGGGGAGCTTCTGAGCAGCTTCCATCTGAATGACAGGACAAGCGCTATGAACTGATCCAGGTAAAAACATTCTAAATAATCTCAGCCTGGCAGGTCATCACTGCAGAGGAGAATCTTCCCAGACTCACACCAACATCCCATTTTACCTCAGGGCCTCCTGATCTAACAGAAAGACCTGTAGCTCCATCCTCGCTCCGTTCTCCACATGTTTGTCATCATCTCTGGAAGCTACCTCCCACAACACTGTGATGTTATATATAATTTTTTTTTCAGGCTAAGTGAACCCAAGTAATCTGCTGTCAGACTGTGTAGTAAAGG